TCGTATTTCAAATAGTCAGAATATATGAGCTGGTCTTAATCACTCTGGTGACACTGCACTTGAAGTGTTCTGTCAGTACTGTTTTATAAAGTACCCTTTGCAATCACCGTGATTATAAATGAAAGCAGTTGGTAGCACAGCAGATGCCCATGTCCATCATGAACTACTGAATAAACTATTGCTGCACTGAGAACTACCCTGCTTTAAAGTAAAGTGAGATTAAAGCTAATTGTTTCTTAGCTGGTCCATCATACTGGAGTGTCACTGAGAGCTTGTGTGTGTCTCCTCTTAATCACTGTAGCTGTCTGGTATGAATCAATCTTTCGTTTCATATCCCAGAGGTATTGCAAGTGATGTCTGACAGGCAGTTATAAAATAGAGTACTGGACATACTGCCAAGCAGGTGGGAGACCACCAGTGAACGATTCACTGGTAGAATCCCTGTAGCCATTTTCAACCAAGCTTGATAGAAGGATGAGGTCTCAGAGACAACCATATTGCTACAAATGTCTTAAAAATAAGCATGTGTGTAGAGAAGAGACACTGTCCAGGTTACCAGTGCAGACAGAGCTTGGAACAAGCCACAGCATGCGTCTTCTTCCTAGTGGCAACCTAGGGACATTGGAAGGAAGGGAAGGGATAAAGAAATCCAGACTAAAAATCTTCTGGACATTGTAAATTCAATCCAGTTACCTTAACAGAGAAGTCTACTGTTGTTTGAGGTTATCTGAGACATCTGCACACAGCAGATGTGTGTCCTTCTAAAGCTCCAGCTATCATCCAACCAGGGCATGGTGTTGCAGCAGGCAACAGACTGGTGGTGTTTAGGGAACTGAATCATTCTTCAAGAATGGCAGCTACCTCCAGACTCAGAAACCAAAGCTTAGGGGTCTAACGGAGCATCTAAGCCACATTTCAATCAAAAGAAATTCACCATGTAGGCAACGGAGCCTTGACCAAATACAGGTGACCATATCAAGGCTACATGCATCTGCCAATATGTAGTCATCTAGTGCCAACTGACCCTCGCATGCCCAAGTCATCCTGAGGCAACTGGCCAATAGGACACACAATTATGGGAGTTCTGTATCTAGTTGGAGGCCAGGATGGATACCTTACAGTATCCCCAGTGGTGCTAGACAAAACTGAGTCAAGCCCTAGATCTCTGCAGACTGCAGTGGTAGCTCAGTCTTCTCCATAAATGAACATCTCCATACAGGCACCCAAATTTGGTTATCCAAAGCTGAATTTCATCCTATACTTCATTAATTCTGCTGTTCACAGAATAACTTTTTTGAAATGCCTTGTTTTGATTTTCCATACTTATTTGGATATCAAACTACAGTTACATAAGTTTATCCAGATACACCTACAGGTGTATATAATAGGTGGTAACATTCCTAGTGTTGTTATTTACCATGGATTATTAAGGCAATGTTGTTTGCTTCTCAGAAATGCAGCTGACATTTTGCACAAAGAGTTATTTGCAGTTCATGCTCTTAGCCAAAAATAAATCACAAATATCATTCCCTCCTTCCTTTATGAGCAGGTAACCTCAGAGTTGTATTGCTGGGCATTCAAACAGAGTGAACTGCTGTATAAGCACTTTATGTTTACCTATTCCCCCCATTTCACTGTACACTGCATTTTCCAGAAAAAATATGTTCTCAACCCATGACACACCACATTTCCTGTAAAAGGTTACTAATAATATCCAGTTCTCCTAGTTGCTAAGGCAATGCTTTCAGTTTAAGTAAAAGCAAACTAAAAACTAAATCAGTTTTCAAAAGCAATGGCTGATTTGTATGTCTGTATGGATCCTCTTAAAGAGAAATCTGCTTTCCAGTGACACCAAGCAGTCAGACTGTGAAAGCAGGTTGCTTTTTTGGTCTTTGAGGTTAGAAATCAAATGACAGATGCACTCAAAGAAACCCCAACCCCTTTAGCATAATGATGTTAAGCATTTACCCTAATGACAATACAGCATGCTTCCATAGGCTTTCTCAGTTTCAATGCCTTCCCAAAGCTAGTGACTTCGGTTATGCCATTATAGGGCACAAACGATCAGATTCATCCAGCCTAAGGTCAGGTGCCTCCCTGTGGTGCTTAAGCTGAAGGAGTTTTCCCAGGATGTCTGTAGATGATGGAGACAGTCTGGTATCCCAGGAGATGCTGAAGAGCTGAATCGTCTCTGGCAGTGCCTATCGAAGCCTAAGTAGCTTAGGTTTAGTATCTCACAGCTAGGTTAAAGTTAGGGCACTTACGGATGCAGGACAAATAACTAACAGAGTCATAGAGTCACAGAATCATAGGATATGTCAAATTGGAAGGGACTCATAAGGATCATCGAGTCCAACACCCTGCTTCTTGCAGGACTACCTAAAACTAAACCATGTGACTAAGAGCATCGCCCATGACTTGCTAAACCCAGCCATGTGTCCAGAAAGTCCTTCTTGGTGTCAGTGTGGTGCTCCATGCTTCAGGCCAGTGGTGGCCAACCTTTATAACCAGGCAACCTTCACCAAGTGAGGAGAGAGCTTGGGATGTTTC